TAATAAGTCAACCAGGTTACATGTGATCTAGCCTCAAAAAATAAAATAAAATAGACAACAATAAAAAGATGTTTTCCAAATTCTCAAGGGATAATCTCTGATGAAATTCTCATTCTTAGGTTCTCAAGAATGATACAAAGTACTTCTGATAAGTAGCAATTTCTTGTGGGGAGAGGATCGCTTTACAGCTACCTTCCAATCTGTTCTCACTGGCAAGGTAGAACAAGAGTAGACATATCTTAAGAGTCAATGCCAACCTCCATCTTAACTTTCTTTAGAATAAGGAATAAAAGAGGGCTTTGTCCACCTTGACTTGGAGCAGGTACACTATCCAGCCAGACTAGAAGAAATGTAGAAAAGAATATCCTAGGCCGTGAGACAATAAAACCCTGACAATTTGAACACCCAGAAGAGTACTTCAAGGTAGAAGTTACTGAAGCCAGCTCTCCACTCTAGGTCCAGGAAGGGTCAAGGCAAATGCTGTAGCTAAGATCTCACATTACAGGATGGAGTAAATCAAAGACTGAACTATTGAGCAGATTAATCAATATTGGAGTTTCTGTTGTAAGATTTAATTCCTAAATCAAAACCCCATCTTGAAAATAATAATGTACAATTGTAGTCCCAGGCAAAGAATGTGGACACATTTAGTGCATCACTCATGATTATAATGTTAGAAATAATATTAAAGGGTCTGGAGAGATGGCTCAGTGGTTAAGAACATGTACTGTTCTTGCAGAAGACCCAAGTTCAATTCCCAGCACCCACATCAGGTAGCTTACGAACTTAGCTTGGGACTCCAGCTCCAGGGAATGGCCCTAACCTCAGGTACACGCACATATACAGACATACATACATATACACTTAAAAAATAAAAAAAAAAAAAAAGAAATGGTATTAAAGGTTTTTGAGATTTGTTTTGTTTTTTTTCTGTTTAAGTCCTGGCTGTCCTTGAACTCACTCTGTAGACCAGGCTGGCCTTGAACTCAGAGATTCACCTGCCTCTGTCCTCCAATTGCTAGGATTAAAGGCATGCACCACCACGCCTGGCTGGTTGAGATTTTTAACAATTTTTTTTAAAATTTAATGTGCACTGGTGTTTTGCCTGCATGTATGTCTGTATGAAGGTGTCTGGTTCCCTGGAACTGGCAGTTGTGAGCTGCCATGTGGGTGCTGGGAATTGAACCAGGTCCTCTGGAAGAGCAGTTAGTGTTCATAACCACTGAGCTGTCTCTCCAGCCGGTTTTTGAGATTTTTAAGAGTACTGTTTTGGCAAACAATAAAAACAGAAGTCACATTGTTTGTAGGTGACATGTCAAAAACCTGAATTGAGACAACTGCTATCCTACTTTTCTATACCAAAGAATGAATGACCTGTCAGTCAAACTGCCTACTTGATGCAGAAATCCTGTATGCCTGTGAAAGATGGCAAGTTCTGATACTTCCAACTAGCTCCATAGGTGAACAGAAACGGCTACTTAACTCCTTGTAACCTTTCTCCTACTGTAGCTAAAGCTACACCAGCCATATTCACTCACTCTTCCTAAAGACTCTTGCAAATATGTGAACATGGTCCAGTCTTCTTTTGTCTTTAGAAATCCAGTTTTCTATCTATTGCCTGTATGATAAATTCTAGATGCTCTTACTCTACTTTCTTCCTATGGAAAAAAAAAATCCCCTCCTAAGCAGTTCATATATTGGATGATTCTAACTGAATCTAACCAGCTCAAAATGGGTACCAGTAACATACTACAAATCAAAACAGTGTTACATTTCGTGGATAGAACTATAGAATGCACATTTATTTTCAACTTTTCATTCTTCAAGCACAGCATATGTTGTCCTTCTATCCAACATCTATCTACGAGCCTGGATTTTTAAAATTAATTTATTTTTATTTTTATTTTATTTGCATTGATATTTTGCCTGCATGTATGTCTGTGTGAGGGTGTCAGATCCTGGAGTTACAGACAGTTGTGAGCTGCCATGTGGGTACTGGGAATTGAACCCGGGGTTCTCTGGAAGAGAAGTCAGTGCTCTTAACCACTGAGCCATCTCTCCAGCCCATACATGAATTTCTTAAACCTTAGTCATTTTACATTTTCCTCTACTGACTGACACTTTTCTGCATACTCCAAAAGTATTTAAGGGGGCTGGAATTTTTTTTTGAGCTGTGTGCAAGGAAAGACAAAAACATTTTTCATTTTCTGTAGCATTCACACCCCTCATTCCACCTGACAAAGCATGCCTTTCCTGCTTAATTAAACCTCTAAACTTTAATTGGCTATTTTAATTTTTTTAAAAATGAGGCTGCTTCTCCAACCCTATAAAACACAAACACAAGTAACTGCTTGGTCAGGCAATTACCAAGTACCACCACCTATAGACCACAGACCTAGCATCCAACAGTATGCTTACATAACAAAAAAAAAACGGTAACTCACTACCCACAAAGAAAATGTGGGTATGCATACTTACTTAAAAATAAATAGGACTGAGTAGCTCAGCAGTAGCAATGTGTCTAGTAGGGTCAAGGTACTGAGTTCCATACCCAGCCAAGAAAAACAGAATCAATCACTGCCTCATTAATCTAATAATTTGGATTTAAAAATTTACAAAACCAGTCATTGGTGGTATCACACGCCTTTAATCCCAGAACTAGGGGGGCAGAGGCAGACAGAGCTCTGTGAGTTCAAGGCCAGCTTGGTCTACAAATGGAGTTCCAGCAGAGTCAGGGCTGTTACATAGAGAAACCCTGTCTCAAAAAAACCAACTAACCGAACAACAAAAAACCCACAAAATTACAAAGCTATTTTTTTAAAACCTCCTTATTTTCTAGGGTTTAAATGCAGGACTTTCAAAACTGTGATTGAATATCAATTCTTTAATAACCATTTCTGTTGTTCTGTGTGTGTGGCATATCCACATGGGTGTGCAGTGTGCCAGGTCAGGCATCTTCATCCATGGCTCTCCAATCTTACTTTTTTAGACAGGGTCTTGCATTGACCCCGGGGCTCAGTGACTAAGGGCTGGCCAGTGAGCCCCAAGGATCCTTCTTTTCCCACCTCCTAGAGCTGGGATTATAGGCATGCATCAAAACAATGGGTTTTTGTTGTTGTTGTTGTTGCTGGTTTTTTTTTTTTTAATGTGGGTGCTGGGGATCTGAACTCAAGTCCTCATATTTTCAAGGCAAGCACTTTACCAATGAGCCACCTCCCTAGCCTCCTTAGAAATTATTTTATGATTTGCTTTTTATATCTTAATTTCTTAATTTTACAACCTAAAACTGTCTATACAGGTGAACCATGAGTGGTGAGTTGGTCCCCATGCTATTTAAATTTCCATTTCAACCTGGACAAACAATATAAAATACATGTAAAAGTATGCTTTGAAATGTTGGGCCAAGGACTGGATATACTCTACCTCACTCGGTGGCAGAGCACTTGTTTAGCATGTGCGAGGCCTTAGATTCCATCCTTGGGGTGGAGGAAGGGAATATTGAGGAAGAACTGAGGATGGGATGGTCTAGGAGCAACAAGGTCACACCATAAACCCACATCTCTAAATACTACTATTTTCAGACATGAACTCACTAATACATCAAATTCTTGAAAGGTGGCAACTAAGATCGTCCTTGGCTATTTTTATCAAGTGAACATAATCTAAGTAACATTACCCCTTTGGATTATGGAGCAGTTGGTTGTGACCGTTTGCCAAATAGGTTGGCTAAATGGTCAAGCAGGGCAATTCCAATTCGCCGAAGAAAGGCAACACTCTACCAGAGATCTGGCTCCAGTGCTCTTCTTCCCAGTGCCACAGGCGTTCCCAGTTCGCCCAACTGTGGTTTTCCCAAACTTTCACCTCTTAGAAAGGCTCCCAAAGGGACACTCAATTAAGGAAACATGATTCATTTGAAAATGGGGGCAGGTCACAGCAAACAGACAGACCTACAATTGGTAAAACTGTAAAAGCAATGTCTGTGAACAAGGAAGTCTTTTTCATGTTCTTCTGCCCCAAAGGAACAAAAGGAACTCAAAATGTTTCTTTTTAAAAAGAATTGCTAAACAATCTTGATGTAGACAATAGCAAATGTTACCAAGCCACGAGGACCTTTTTCGATTACCCGAGGTTCACAAGGTTAAAAAGTTAACAATCTGTCCTTAACATGAGAAGCGTAAAAGGTTTAGTCAGTAAGCTGGTCCCATCCCCGGCTATTTTAAATAACTCGGCAAACTTGAGCGCTCTGGTATCATAAAGAGAACCCAGTAGTTAAAACTAATTTCAAACTATCTACAATAAATCTCAGGATGGCTCAAAATGAGTCTTAAAATCCTAGATCCGAGCTCAAGAGCTTGTCCTATCTTGTCTCTCACTTACTTTCCACCCCAACTTGTGCATGTGTGTGGCAGAGGCCACCCACACTCAGCCTAAGTAGATCTCAGGTCTCCCAACCTGCCTATTTCCGGTTTTAGTCTCTCCAGATACCTAAACCAATTAACTCTAATGAGTCAATACCCAATAAAAACAACTCCTAAATTACATTTTCACGGTCTACGAAGGCCGCTAGAACTTAAGATTGGTTAAGAGTTACGGTGGAACTTGCAAAGAAGGGTGAATCGTTGAGATCATTACTCTTTCAAATCACAGGGTCTACTAAGCCTTTCTTGTGTGCCGAAGCCCTTCAGGGTAGCAAGACCGGAAGTCGGTGCAGGTATTGTTGATACAGTAAAACAAAACAAAGCATCCCCCCACCCCCAACAAACCACACACACACACACACACACACCAACAAAAAAACCCATACCATAAAAACAACTTCCCGGGAGCACGCTCACCCCACCCCTAATCACGAGCCCCCGAGGGGGGGGGTGGAGAGCGAGATGGCCACGGTGAGTCCCGGGGAAAGGTCGGAGACAGGGCAGTGCTGCGTGGCTTGCGGCCTGCAAGCCCGGAGCCTGCAGGTGGGGGCGTGCGGGGGGCGACGCGGGGCCGGCGTTTACCTGCGGCGAAGTGGAGCGGGGTGGACTTCCTGCCCGCCGTGTCGCGGCTGTTCACCTTCTCGGGCGTCACCAGCCTCTTCACTCGCTCCACGTCCCCGTTGCGGCAAGCCTCGAACAGCTCGCGGGCAGCCGGCTCCACGGCCTCGGCCCCCGCGCT